TCATCAGGTGAAGGGACCGGACTGTCCAGAGGACAGCGTTGGAGTGAAGACAGCCAAGCCCAGGTCGCGTCCTTTAAGCTGTGTGGGAGGAAACAAAAAAACGCCTTGACAAATTGAGCTGCACCTGTGGTGACCGCCACACCGGGGAGACGAAGCGACATGTCTCCGACCGAATTCGCGAGCACAAACCAGACCTGAAACACGGCAGAACGAATTCCTCCGCCGCAGCTGATCACTGTTACAATGCTGTGGGTGATCACGACATAGTCCTCTCCGACACCAAGGTTCTCAGCAAACCCACGGGTTTTTATCAGAGATTTGTCCACGAGGCAATTCAGATCTACAAACACAGACACAACCTTAATCGAGAGGATGGTTTCACATCAAGCAATCACCGGAAAGATGTTCTAAATCATACCAAACACTAAACCAATTCTCAATGGCACAGCACATTCCTTCAAGCAGTGGTATCCCAAACTTTCACAGCAGCTTGTGTCTGTGTTTGTGGGTCTGAATTGCCTCGTGGACAGATCTCTGATGGAGGCCCGTGGGTTTGCGGAGAACCTTGGTGTCGGAGAGGACTATGTCGTGATCACCCACAGCGTTGTGACAGTGGTCAGCTGCGGCGGAGGAATTCGTTCTGCCGTGTTTCAGGTCTGGATTGTGCTCGCGAATTCGGTCGGAGACATGTCGCTTCGTCTCCCCGGTGTGGCGGTCACCACAGGTGCAGCTCAATTTGTCAAGGCGTTTTTTTTGTTTCCTCCCACACAGCTTAAAGGACGCGACCTGGGCTTGGCTGTCTTCACTCCAACGCTGTCCTCTGGACAGTCCGGTTCCTTCACCTGATGAAGGCCACTTGTGTTGTGGCCAAAACGTCGTGATTTTTGTTATTTTATTTTTACCTACGTGACTTTACCGAATAGAACCAAAGAGTATGGATCCTTGCAGTCACGAAAGCTTCAAATCTAGAATTCCTGTTATCTCGCGACGTCACGAAGCAGCAGCAGGTGACATGACGTCATTTGCGGGGTACAAGACACTTTCCTCCCACAACGAGCGGCTCTGTAACTTAAATAATGTTAATGAGCCCGGCCCATACGTGGAGGGATGGGGCGTGGGTGCCGAACCCGTCGCAATGAACTCGCGACGGCTATCACGAACACATTATGTTAATGAGTCAACAGTCACCGGGAGTGGCTTTGCCCAAATAAGGATTGGCACCGGAACAGTTATCGGCAGCGGCCGAGCGGAGGTGACGTTACGATCAAGAGCGCGGTGGTCGGTGACATGATGTCACTAGCGAGGCACACCTCCCCCCTGGCGTTCGACGCCGATGAGGTCACGCTGAGCGGTGACGTCTGAGAGCGGGGTCAGAGTTCAAGTTTGTTGACAGAAGGGGAGCGGTAGTGACGTGCTGAGCGCTGCGTTCCGCACCCGACCAGCCGAGTTCCATTCCCGCTCGTGGCCAACACCGCCAGTGACGATTTTCTGAACCGGTCCTGAGCCTACCCTACGTCGACTCGGCCTCAAACGAGTACCCGGTGCGATGTGTAAACATCGCCACTAGGGAGACAAAGGCGGCCGGGCGTGGTGCTGGCCACCAACCCCCTCGTGTGCCGTCCCACCCTTAATAGGTGCTCGCTAACAGCACTTGCCCCTAGTCTGTTAAGGCTATACAGGGTATCTTTGTCTTTATGTTAGGTGCTCACTAACAGCACTTGCCATGACATTCTGTGCAGGCTATAGGGGGATCTTTGTCTTTGTGTTGGGAGCAAGTTTGAATGGCGTGTAGTCGTGGAAGCTGAACGGGCGCGTGCTACTGACAGTCGTTGACTACGGTGGGACAGACGCTGATAGACACACACAGACAAGACAGGCGGACAGACACAGACAAGAGGAACACAGAGACAGACGACAGAGACAGGCAGAGAGAGACACAGAGGCGAACAGAGACACAGACGGACAGAGAGATGTTGAACACACTTAACTCGCTCCATTGAAAGAGATTCCTCGATCTTTGCCCATCCCCGGAAGTCGTTCTAGTTTCTATTTATTTCATTGTGTGTGGTGTGTACGTGTAAGCAATGTGGGATATCGATGTACACAGCTATGAACAAGTTCAGCAGACAAGACGTCTTTCATATTCTTTGGTTCTTTCGGTAAAGTCACGTAGGTAGAAAAGATAAAATAATAAAATAAATCACGCCGTTTCGATCGCAACACGAGCGGTCGTCCTCAGGTGAAAATATCCAGACATTGTCACGTGACAAAGATGAGGTGACCCCCCCCCCCCCCCACCGTGGCTCGCCCCGCTCAGCTGAGCATCGTTTTAATGCGGTGGGATCACGCGAAATTGATTTCTGTAAGACGAAGGTACTTTGAAAACCCACTGGCTATACTCCTTTATATAAGCGCACAACTTTATCTATCTGTGACGAACGCTGCACTTTGTCGTTTTCATGCAGGGGGCGCTGTAAACCTATTAGCCCCCTGCATGAACGATGGAGGCGCAGGGGCAGGCGTTCGATCACGTTGGAATCGATCTGTAGACGGCGGTCTTCTCGCACGGCCAGCTCTGTGTCGCCTTATTTCGATCCCGCGATCCCAACCAGGTGAAAGTCCGCATCGAACCGAACCCCCGGCATGGCCATCTACTTCACGACGAGAAAAAATTTACACGAAATGTCGTTTTCAATTAAGTCTTCCAGATGTAAAATGATATAAGATTTTAATGAAGAAATAAAATTATCTAATTCAAAACATAATACAATTCAAAGTTGTTTCATTTTAAAACTTCAAAACTGAGCACCGGGTGCTTGAGTGAATGCGTCGTTCGTGTGCAATTTTTTTGGTGACTTTCCTGGCCCGAGGCTGTAAATGTTTGTGAGGGGCGCCGCAAGCGGTCCGGCTTGCTTCAACCCTTGGTTGTCAACATCCAGACGTTAATCGGCAAGGACCATTTCTCGTCCTAGTTCGCCAACATATAAGACGTCATGCAAAATTAGAATGAGTGTTGTTGTGGAGAATGTATCTACTAGATGTGCTCTGCCTTGTAACCGAATACAAATCTGAACCAAAAATGCGTTTCAAATGTGCTCTTAAAATTACTTCCTTACTATGAAGCAGATCAGCAGACACGACATCTTTCATTTATCGATCTCTCCACTAAACAAAGGAATGTTTTACACAAACTATAACTAGCACAGCCTTTTGGGAGTGCATCATTGATTCAGTGCAAGTCACCTGTGGACCCTGATTGGTGCACAGGCTCTCAAGAGCAGCGGGGCTTGCTTCAACCGATGGTTTCGAACATCCAGACGTTAATCAGCAAGGAGCATTTCTAGTCCTAGTTAGACAAAATCTACGTCAACACGTAATACTAAATTATAATTCGTGTTGTAGAGAATGTACCTCCTATACGTGTAACCTTTGAGTGGTATGCCTTATCTGTACAGGTTACTTCCACAACACAAACTTTGTCCTAACATCACTTATTCAATGTTTGACCCTTATAGACAAAATGTTACATGTACACACACAATTATTCATTCTAAATTGACTAATTTTAACAAAATTTAATTACTGCACTGAAATATACTGCATTAACAAGTATCTATTCAAAAAAATATGCACCTTCTGCTTAACAGTTCATGTACAACATACTATTGCGCCATTCAAATCGAGTAGGCCATTGCATGCTGGCGTCTGGGTCAAAATTGATCAAATTCTAAACATTACCTACAAACTCCACAACTGAGATGGCACGTCAACCATCGCCCCCTACTGACAGGCTCTTGTTCACATGCAGGCCGGTGCAGGGCCACCACCTTGTGCCACACAGGGGCAGCTGCTACTTGTGGGTGTTCTTCAAGTGTTTGAGACGAGATACGATACAAAACTCCAAATTGCCGAGGCGATTAAGCAAGCACCATATAAATGCAATTATGATAACATAGCGAATGCTTGGGAGCTTATTGGCTCTCGCTCCTGGTTAGAGATCTACCCAACCCACAGGTCCACAAAGACTGGCCGCTCTTATCCTGCAGGTTTAACCTAGGAATTGAGTGTTCAACTTCACATTCTTGTCATTAAAGGCCTGTGACAAAGGTTCATCTATTGGAGCGACATCGTCTCTGGCTTACACATCTACCGGGTCTCCATTTGACTTCGTATTGTCTCGTAGGAAGTCCACCCACACCTCCACTTCCACAAACTGCTGGGCGTTGCCTCGCTCTGCCTCACAGTCAGAATTCTCCTCCTGCTTCACGTTGCCTCCATCCATGTGAAGGTCCGATTTTGGAGTCGAATCTTCATCTTCACATTTTACCCTCACTTCTTCGCTCTTCACCATCACGTCTTCACATTTCACCTTCACCTCTTCATATTTCACCTCGACACCTTTAAAAGCGTCCAAGCTGGGATATTCTTCCGGTTCTTGTTTCATGAGGGATGGGCTCCTTGCGGAACTTTGACTTTCACAAGCTGATTTCAGACTCCACTCCTTGTGGATCTTCTGATGCTTGTGTGTTCTCTGGTGTCTTTGAAGATTTGCTGAATCTGAAAACGCCTTCACGCACAGAGTGCACTTGAAGGGGTTCTCTGCTGTGTGTGTTCTCTGATGTTTTTTAAGAGCAGATGTTTGTGGAAATTCCTTCCCACAAACACTGCACTTGAAGGGTTTCTCTCCCGTGTGTGTTTTCCGGTGTACATGAAGATTTGATGAACGTGCAAACGCCTTCCCACACACACTGCACCTGAAGGGTTTCTCTCCCGTGTGTGATCTCTGGTGTATTACAAGAGTAGATGGCTGTGCAAACGCCATCTCGCACACACTGCACCTGAAGGGTTTCTCTCCCGTGTGTGATATCTGGTGTGCTACAAGAGCAGATGACTGTGCAAACGCCTTCTCACACACACTGCACTTGAAGGGTTTCTCTCCCGTGTGTGTTCTCTGGTGTGTTACAAGAGTAAATGAAAGTGCAAACGCCTTGTCACACACACTGCACTTGAAGGGTTTCTCTCCTGTGTGTGTTTTCTGATGTGTTACAAGATTATATGAATCTGAAAACGCCTTCCTGCACAAAGTGCACTTGAAGGGTTTCTCTCCTGTGTGTGTTCTTTGGTGTTTTTTAAAAGCAGATGGATGTGAAAATGCCTTCCCACACACACTGCACCTGAAGGGTTTTTCTCCCGAGTGAGTTCTCTGGTGTGTTACCAGAGTAGATGACTGTGCAAACGCCTTCCCACACACACTGCACTTGAAGGGTTTCTCTCCCGTGTGTATTCTCTGGTGTGCTACAAGAGCAGATGATTGTGCAAACGCCTTCCCACACACACTGCACTTGAAGGGTTTCTCTCCTGAGTGAGTTCTCTGGTGCTGTGTCAAATGTTCAGGACGATCTGTGCTGTATGTACACCGGTCGCATTGATGCCTTTTTGCACCGACCTGCGCCGAGTGCCTTTGCTCCATCAGACCAATTCTGCAGAGGAAGCGACAGCTGCAGACAGAAAAAAATATCCACACCATCTACACGTCAGTATCGATGAACAGAGGAATGCATATATACAGTTACACGTGACTTACATGTCTATACTTATTCAGATTTTCATGATATAGTGAAAAAGTGTCCCAAAATTCATCACACAGGCTGTTATGGCACACAATGAGAGGGCAAATAGTCATAAACATGCCTGGAAGCCCTAGTGTCTTCAAAATGAATGTTAACCCAAAACTCCAAGCACACAATTTCGGTTGTCTGGCTTCAAAAGAAAGATTTATGAAAGCTAAATTCACCTGACATAGCAAACTGTCTTGAAAATAATACTATTTGTGTTATGCATAAATGCATAAATTAATGTTCAATCACAACTTAGAGGTGTGAAGCCAGGCAGAGATGTCCTAGAATGCTGGGATGAACAGTTCCGACTTCAGCTGCACGTGTGCTGTGATAACTTCCTGACTCCATTCTTACAAAGAGTTCCAGAGGAAAAAAAAAAATAAACTACTGTTTTAATCTCACCTCTGTGCTCAATAGAGTTAAATGAGTTTACTGCAAATACAAACTTGACACTGTCACACACTCAGAGGCGGAGTCAGGATTTTCAGATCGGGGGGTAAACCCCTCCAGCAATGAAAAATGATAGGAGTTGTTAGTAAGGAGTTGTTAGTATGTAAGGAGTTGTTAGTAAGTAAGGAGTTGTTAGTAAGGAGTTGTCAGTAAGAACTTGTCCCTTGCTTTTTATTCGACGCGTGTGATCGGCATCGCGCTCGCTGAAGGTGTTTGCCTTCAGGGAAGTCGTGTACTGTATACGCAACTGTGCACAATTCTGCGAGTCGCTTGTAACTGCTTTACCGTTACTTATTGACAATTATGGACTCGGACTGTTGTCTTCTCCGAGTCCCCGGCACGTAATAATATGCCACACGGTGGCAGTGGGGGTCGAAAAATGCTGATTTATCTATATATCTGAAAGGGAAATGTGTGATACGTGTGTCTTTTCGAAATGTTTAGCATACTTTCCAACATGCTACACATTTTACATTTGGCATGTGGGTAGGTTCCATACTTTACACAATGTAAATTGTGTGAAAATAGACTTTGGTATTTTGGGGGGGGGTGGAAGAAATGACAATGAAGTGTGTGGCGTCAACCCGCAACACACCTGAGTTAAGCGCTCTGCAATGCTTACCCCTACCATATGGCTCTTCGTGCGCCGTACTTCTAGAGCTGTTAACAGCGTGCCGGGAGATTTTAGGTGGCGCTTCGCTTCTGGCCGATGAAGTTATTGGCTTCTCGTAGTGTCAATACATATCCGTGTGAAGAACGGGTACAACTGCTATCTTAAATATAAAGCAGAAATGACATCTGTTTTTTGTGTGAAGCAGTAAAAACTCTCCAACGCCGAGCTCTGGTGTGATATTTTCACAGCTTATGCTGTCTGGAATTTCGAAGTGAACACGCTATGTTCAGCTCGCCATGTCATTCCTTTCCCGAGTGGCCAAAATCGACCTTACGTAGAAGTGGGTTAACGTTGAATTTCCTTCAGTGAAAACATCCAATTTAGGTACATTTATTTGTTTCGGCTTTTTTCTTTCTTGCAAGCATACATTTTGTCAGGGTTTTTCAGTGAAATATAAAGGAATATGAAATTAATCCCAGACAATAATCCAAGTCCCGGGCGAAGGCGGGTAGTGAAGCTAGTTACTAATCATCCCAATGATCTGATCGAAATGATGGATTTCGATCGGATCGTTGGGGGGGCACGTGCCACCCCACCCCCACTGGCTCCGCCACTGTCACACACTGGCATGGTTCACAGGTGGTGGTGTGTCCAGACCCACGCCTGGCGACCTTCACCTGCTCAGTATTCATGCTTCCTCACTCCACCAAGTAATTCATTGAGGATCAATCAACACAGCTGAGGCTGCCTATCTCTCTCTCTCTACCGGTGGTCGAGTGGATTTCCTTCCCGATCCCCCGGTTTCCGCTCCACATGTAGAGAGCGAACACTGCCACGCATCTAGAGTGAACACCGCCACGCGTCTAGAGTGAACACCGCCACGCGTCTAGAGTGAACATCGCCACGCGTCTAGAGTGAACACCGCCACGCGTCTAGAGTGAACACCGCCACGCGTCTAGAGTGAACACCGGCACGCGTCTAAGAGTGAACACCGCCATGCGTCTAGAGTGAACACCGCCAAGCGTCAAAGTGAACACCGCCACGCGTCTAGAGTGAACACCACTACACGTCTAGAGTGAACACCACTACACGTCTAGAGTGAACACCACCACGCTGTTGACAAGCCCCACCTTGTTGTTGTGGGCAGGTCGCTTCGGCAGCTCAACGCGAGCGTGGCCTGGTAAAAAATGAAGAAAAACTGCGTGAATATTTAAAATAAAAAAAGTTACAAAGTAGCAAGCCAGGTGAAAAGAAATTAAAACTTAAGCAAGATATTCTTTGGTTATTTCGGTACAGTCATGTAGAGCGGAAATAATAATTAAATAATTGCGTACGACGTTTCGATTGCAACACAAGTATAGTGGGTTCACGGGACACGGAGACGGTGGAGTAGAGGCAGCACTGTTTATTCAAGCTTGGCAAGTTACACTGAGAAGGGGTAACGCCCCCTTCACCCGTATACACACTGGGACACCCTCTAGGCTAACAGCCTAACCACTATGTTCCCAGTTCCTCCGCTACAGGGGCTAGAGGAGGCTGTCTGACCTGGCCCTGGTCATGGCACAGGTCACGGCACCCCACCAGACAGACCGACCCTTAAAAGGGCTCCGCCTCTGAGGCTCTGGGGCCGCACCACTGGCTTGCCCTGCCGGCCCTGAAAAGGGCAGCGGTCACGGGACTTCCAGGGTCTATCCTAGGTCTCCCTTCTTCACTGGTTCTTCACCCTTGGCTTACCCCAAGACTCTGCCCCGAGCTCTCTGGCTCCCCGCCCTTTATACCAATACACCACTCAGAGGCGGGGATATAGCGGACGTGGTTGTAGCCACCACGATGTGACTGTGTGTTCCCTTCCCGCAACACCCCTACACAAGCAATCACCATCTCCATATATATAAAAGGGACATTTGTGAATGTGTCTGTTTAAAATGTTTAGCGTACTTCCCGACATGCAACAAACTTGACATTTGCCATGTGGGTACTTTCCAGGCTGTACCCCATGCAAAAAATATAAAAATACTTTTTTTGGGGGGGGAGCTCAATAATGCACATATATTTTTTGCACGGCAAGTGAGCTGTGATGTAAAATCTGTCACGTGACCCGCGCATGTGGCAGTGTAACGCATTGTAGTGTAGCGGTGAACGCGCTGCGCTACGAACCCGGCGACCCGAGTTCGATTCCCGCTCACGGCCACCACCGGTGACGATCATTTGAACCGGTCCTGGGCCTCCCCTAGGTCGACTCAGCCTCAAACGAGTAACTGGTGTGGTGTGTGAACATCGCCACTGGGGAGACAAAGGCGGCCGGGCGTGGTGAATCCAAGTCCCGGGCGAAGCCGGGTAGTAAAGCTAGTCGAAAATAAAAGGGAAATTTGTGAATGTGTGTCTGTTCGAAATGCAACAAACTTGAAATTTGACATGTGGGTAGTTTCCAAACTGTACACAGTAATGGATATATTTTGCACGGAAAATGAGCGGTGACGTCACATCTCTGTCATGTCACCCGCATGCGGAAACGTTACGCATTGTGTCTATTGACGTCACGCATCCCCCCCCCAAACCCTCCGCGTAGGCCCTGTATCCCGCACAAATGCGCAGTTGGGGGGGGGAGGGGGGGAAATAATGGGTATAATATGCTAGGCTACTAATTTTCAATTTGCCATGTAGCTAACTCCCAAACTGTACACAATGTAAAACATGTAAAATATATTTTTGATTTGATTTAAAGCTTTCGTGACTGCAGTAATTCATATTCTTAGCTCTTTCGGTAAAGTCACGTTGTGTATATTTTATTATTTTATTGTTTCCCTTCAACGTGACTTTACCGAAAGAGCTAAGAAAATATATTTTTGTATTGGGGGGGGGGGGGGGGGGGGGGGGGGGTGGTGCAATAATGGATATATTTTGCACGGCAAGCGAGCAGTGACGTCACATCTCTGTCATGTCACCCGCATGTGGAAGCGTTACACATTGTGTCTGCTGACGTCACGCATCCTCCCTCACCCTCTGCGTTGGCCGTGTATTAATCCAAGACAAAAATCCAAGTCCCGGGCGAAGCCGGGTAGTAAAGCTAGTCAGGTACAAGTGAAAGAGGGAACAAACCTAGTACACTTAGAAATATAATGTAATACAACACAGAGAGTCGGCTAACATAACAGTCAACACCACACCTCGTTGATTACGTTCTTACACATATTGATAAATTTGAGAGAGAAAACACAGACACGGAGACACACAGACACATAAGCAGAGAGAGATAACACACAGACACACAGAGAGAGACACACAGACACAGAGATAGACACACACATAGACAAAGCGATAACACAGAGACACAGAGAGACAGACACAGAGAGAGATGACACACATAGACACACAGAGATGACACAGAGAGACACACACAGACACACAGAGACACACACAGAGAGATGACACACACAGAGAGAGATGACACACAGACACACAGAGAGATGACACACAGACACACAGAGAGATGACACAGAGAGACACAGAGAGATGACACAGAGAGACACAGAGAGATGACACAGAGACACAGAGAGAGAGACACACACATAGACAAAGCGATAACACAGAGACACAGAGAGACAGACACAGAGAGAGATGACACACATAGACACACACAGAGATGACACACAGAGAGACACACACACAGACACACAGAGACACACACAGACACACACAGAGAGATGACACATACACACAGAGAGAGATGACACAGAGACACACAGAGATGACACAGAGAGACACAGAGAGAACACAGAGACACAGAGAGAGAGACACACACATAGACACAAAGCGATAACACAGAGACACAGAGAGAAACAACGCCTCTGTGTCGAGGCCTTAAATAGAGAGCGGGGCAGAGAGAGAGAAATTAACAAGTCAATGCAAGGCCGTAGCCATGGAGTCAACATTGGAGAGGGGATGTCCCCCCCAATAAAAATTATAATTATTATATTATTACATATTATATATTACGATAATTATAATATAATTATGTTATAATTATTGTAATATATTATGACTACGGCCTTGTGTCAATGAGAGATTTGGAGGTTTGGTGACTGCAGGAAATCAAAGCGCGACAACACGAGGACACACACAGAGAGAGAAAGCACACTTAATCAAACAAACTGAGTAAAATTTAGAAATGTAATGCAATGCAACACAGAGAGTCGGTCAACACACAATTAACGCATAGCCTGGTTGATTACGTTCTTCCAAAGGTTGCTAAATTAAGCAAGAGAATTGAAGCAAACGCGATCAGGCGAGGGCAGGAGGCAAGGCCCCGCGTTGTAAAATTCCAACCTGGACATCGCTTCCACGCTCGCTGCTACTCAGTTGACATCCCTACGAGAGAGAGCGAGGCTCTACCTCGATAAACAACAACAACCACCACAACAACAACCACCACCACAACAACCACCACCACAACCACGATGAGAATTTCTCACGTCGGATTTCAGTTCACGCGCGTAGCGCAGATTCCTGATACCTCGCGACGTCACGAAGCAGCAGCAGGTGACATGACGTCACTTGCGGGATACAAGACACTCACCTCCCACAAGCGGCTCTTAACTTAAATAAATTATGCTAATGAGCCCGGCCACACGTGGAGGGGTGGGGCGTGGGTGCCGAACCCGTCGCAATGAACTCGCGACGGCTTTCACGAACACATTATGTTAATGAGCCGCCAGTCACCGGGCGTGGCTTTGCCCAAATAAGGATTGGCACTGGAACAGTTAACGGCAGCGGCCGAGCGGAGGTGACGTCACGCTTAAGAGCGCGGCGGTCGGTAGTGGGTGACATGACGTCACTAGCGAGGCCCACCGCCCCCCTCCATATTCAATGCAATTACCGTAACAAAAACACGTTCAAAATATTTTAAAAAACGTCCAAAATATTGAGCACATTCACAAGCGTATACAAACACACTGAAGACTAAATAATGATGATTGATTTTTTTGCGGTACATTATATTAAACCACGCTTACAAGCTAAACCATTCAGATGATTACTCAACGTTTATGCTGGAAATTAGAACATAACATAACCTCGTTTTCTAGAAACACCCCGCTAAACACAAGTGTCCTTAAATATATTTATGAAACAAAGTCAGTACAGTATAAATTTGCACCTCTTAGTCCAAATCAAAGTGGACATAACCATTTTGATACTTCTGACTGTGTGTCGCTGTTAAATCCTCAAAACTTACAGCAATTTAGACGACATTGTCGGGTGAATATTAGCAAATTTACCAGAAGCACATAATTATGCATGGAGATGTACATCTTAATTCAAACAGAAGTGAACAATTATTCAGTGGGATATACTTCACGAACAAATGTGCGAACAAATGACAGTACATACCTGTACACACATTCACGCGTGTACATATCCACATCAACGAGTGTAAATAAACACACGAGTGGACATACACAGCGGTACAGATTCACGTACATACAAACAGTAGCAGACTAGGATAGCGGGGTTTTGTGATTATTTTCACTGATTAATCTGACGATCTGAATCTTAGATGCCCCACAACACAGAATAACGTTACGCGAATGACAGAAACGCGTTCCATTCTAATTCATTCTCTGTATTCCACTACAAACGCATGGAATTATTAATAATGTTTTAAATAGTGCCCCCATGTTTAATGAGTGTAGTGAAGTCATTAGTTTTGTTTATTTAATTCCATTTGTTGCATTTGCTACGGCACACTGGTTGAGATTATTCTTCCCATTTAAGTAATCTCTCTAGAATCATTTGTAATTTTCTTCATTAACTTCCTTGCATTCAATTGTAATCGCGGAAGTGACGCTCCTCACATCTATCAACATACCTAAGCTCATGTGGCCATTGTGCTTAAGCCTAAGTAGGAATGTGCATTTCACTGCATCATTGTTCACTTCCGTTTGAACATGGATGGGCATCTTCTTGCATAATTACGTTGTTAGTTTGCACATTTCCAATGGCCTGCAAACTGCTATCGATTTATCCGTCTTACCTGTGAAACACAGTATAAAATATTGCAATGTTGATGGAGATATACTTAGACTAAGAGGTGCATGCTTCATAGCGTGCTGACGTGGTTTTATTAACGTGTTTAAGGACTCTTGTTGATCAAGGTGTGTCTAGACAACGAAGATGAATTGTTATATTCCATCAATTAAAATGTTTACAATTGCTGGTTGTTTTTTACCCATCGGGATGGTATAGTTTGTAAGCGTTGTTTATTATATTGTAACGCAGACATTATCACATTTCAGTCTATGGCATAAAGTCTCGTGTGTATTTACACTGCTGTGTATGTACCAGTGCTGTGTGTATGTATGTGTGTATATATTTTTTGCACGTGTTTTCATGGCAAAGTGCATTGAATGTGTAAGGGGTTACCAGCACCTCGCACCTGTCCAGAGACCTCGTGGGCCGCTGTGGTGGCTACGAGACTTCCCTCCAGGACATTGCTCACATCCACCACAGCGTTACCGTCCGGCACCTCTGGTGAGGTAGGGGGTTGTTTTTTTTACAGAACTTAACTCGTTTCTCAGAAGGAGGCAATCCCTGGTGTTTGCCATTCCCCTGCCACGAGTAAAAGTTGATACTATTCCCCTGCCCATATCGACACGAGTGTCCTTAAATATATTTATACGTAAAGTTTACCACGGTATAAAAACTTGCACCTCAAAGTGCACATCACAATTTTAATACTTCAGACTGCATTTCCCTGCTAACGTCTTTGAACTGGCAGCAGTTTGCAGCACATTGCAGGGTGAATTTTTAGAAAATTAACGCGAATTATGCGGTGAGATGAACATATTATTCAGGCTTTAGCTCAATGGCATGATTAGCGAAGCTATGTTGCTAGATATGCAGATTGAAAATTCAAAAAAAACAAATGAACGTTAAGTTCATGAAATGCAACGTCGAGAACTTCATCTTTCATCAATGCAACATCATTCCAAACGACCCCACCAATGTGATGCTGGTGTCATTGTCACCAATTCGAAAGACACCTGTGACTTACAGCTTTACACACCTTACGCCACGCTCCAAAGCCCCCTTCATTCGTTTTTGTTGTTTCTCAGAAGGAGGCACGCCCTGTTGTTTAGCCGTTCCCCTGCCATAAGTAAAGTTTTGCAAAAACAACCCCGTTACTTCATTGACGGTGCCGGACGGTAACGCTGTGGTGGATGTGATCAATGTCCAGGAGGGAAGTCTCGGAGCCACCACAGCGGCACGCGAGGTCTCTGGACGGGTGCGTAGGGGCTGGTAACCCCTCAAAATTCAATGCAATTACCGTAGAAAAAACACGTCTATAAATATTAAACATGTGCAAAATATTGAATAAATACACAGTGGTTTATATACACACACCGAAGGTCGTATGTTACAGACTAAATGGTGACGATTTTAAATTTCGATTCAAGCTTTCGTGAGTGCAAGGATTCATCTTCTTTGGTTATTTCGGTAAAGTCACCACGTAGAATGAGAATAAAATAAAAAATAATAAAATAAAATAACCCAATAAAATTCTCACCAGACGTTTCGGCCACAACACAAGTGGCCTTCTTCAGGTGAAAGGAACAGACCTGTCGGGACGACAGAGCTTCAATGAACGTTGTTAAGATTCGTAGCGCCTTTTTAAGCTGGTTTAGAGAAGTGAGGCACCGTGACAAAGGGGTTTACATATAAAACAGGAGAATTTAGCATTCTTTTTTTTGCATAACGTTATTATCAACCATGCTTACAGGCTAAACCATTCAGATGATTATTTAAAGATTATGATAGAAATCATAACATAACATACTCGTTTGCTAGAAGCACTCTGCTCAACACGAGTGTCCTTAAATATATTTATGAAACAAAGTCAGTACGGTATAAATTTGCACCTCTTAGTCCAAATCAAACTCGACATCTTTATTTTGATACTTCAGACTGTGTTTCGCTATTAAATCCTGAATAACTTGCAGCAGTGTAGAGGACATTGCGATGTGAATATTAGCAAATTAACAGGAAGCACGGAATTATGCATGGAGATGTACATCTTTATTCAAACGGAAGTGTACAATTATGCAGTGGGATGTACATACATATTAAAGGCTAATTACAATGGCCAGATTAGCTAAGCTATGTTGATTGATATGCGGATTGTTAATGTAAAAATTAACAATTGAATGCAAAGTCCATGATAGGCCAAGTCGAGAACAAAGGATTTGGATGCTAGAGGGGAGTTATAAGGGGCTTAAAATCAGACCTCAAGACCATTTGGAGAGGAATTTTACTGAGGATAGACGCTCGACTCATCGCTCTGCAGATTTCCCTTCTCCTGCGAGACCCAGCCTGGCGAGCACGATTGCTTGGCGACTGGTTGGCGACTTTGCTTCGGGAGAGTTCGTGGCGATCTCTTCAGACGGGTTACAGGGTCATCGATACACCGTGCATCAACAAGTAAGTGTCGTTGTGAGGGATAACCTGGTAATCGCGTGTGTAGCCCGTTCTATGGAGCAGATGAACTCTCCACAGTGCCACACACGGGCGAGAGGCCGTTTCAATTGCTCTGTGTGTGGGAAGGCTTTTGCATGGAAATCAAGCTCTTTTCAGGACACCAGAAAACACACTCGGGTGAGAAGCCGTTCAATTGCTCTGTTTGTGGGAAGGCATTTGCGGAGAAAACAACTCTTAACAGACACCAGAAAAACACACACGGGCGAGAAGCCATTCAATTGCTCTGTGTGTGGGAAGGAATTTTTACGGAAATCAAATCTTAACTCTCACAATAAAACACACTCGGGTGAGAAGCCATTCAATTGCTCTGTGTGTGGGAAGGAATTTTTACGGAAATCAAATCTTTCACAGTCACCAAAAAACCATACAGGCGAGAAGCCATTCCATTGCCCTGTGTGTGTGAAGGCATTTTCACGAAAATCAACTCTTAACAAACACCAGAAAACACACACGGGCGAGAAGCCATTCAATTGTTCTCCGTTAGAGAGGACACGGTCATCACCCCGAAACAAGCATGCGAATAACCGCAATGAGAGGGAAGTGAAATCAAAAGGTGAAATGCAAAGTCCTGCAGTGAGTCCTGAACAAAATGAATCTTTCGACCCTATACAGGTGAATCCTCAGAGATGCCTGGATGTAGTGGATGTAATGACTCCTGGCAACAATTCCTCTTTCGACCTAATGCAGTTGGATCCTGAGAGATTGCTGGATGTAATGAGCCCTGACGACAATTCCTCTTTCGACCCCATGCAGGTGGATACTGAGAAATGGCTGCTGGAGTGGCTGGAGGGTCAACGTATTGAGTACTTCTGTTAACTCTTGAAGTCCTGGAATGTGCATGTTTGTGTCTCAGTTATATCAATTAATAAGGTTCAAATGATTACTTCCGTACACTAAGCTCGAGTGATGTTGTGAATGCTTTCTGATGTGTTCGGAAAAAAAGTATGCCTTTAAAGTTGCAGAAGTGTTCACTTAGTTGAGGATGACAACAATTTTATTCTTCGATAGATGCATTGCTTCGTCTGGTGGTTGTATCATCGGCACTGTTAAATGTGTGGTGTTTATGGTAGAAGGTGCCACGTGTTGTCATCTTCTCACAGCTACTTGTGTGTTGAAGTTCATTCTAGACTTCGTCACGTTAAGGTGGTGCTTTGTAGTCATATCGGATTACTTGCTGATGTGGTGTGATCCACAGTGGTTGTGAGGTGGTCCAATTCCTGATTTTACTCTCGTGACTAAGTGGTCTTGTTGAGCTAACTAAAGTTGGAGAAAGACTGTGACCATAACGTTGCCCTATATTTTAAACAATTTTCTTTAATTTTCAATATTGTTTAATGAAACAAAAACTACTTCAAAGTGTCGGTTTCAGAATGTGCGTTCGTTGTTCCTATGTTTGATGGCTTGGACTTGTGGACGAATGGCTTCAGTCGATAAGGACGTCAATTGGGAAGGATTAAGACGTTCACGTGTTTGATTTTTTGAATATTTTATTACTGTTGAATTAATGAAAGTGAAATAATTTTCCTAGTTCCTTAACTGTTTGAAAAAGCGAATTAATAAATATTTTGATGCGAGTTTTAACGTTGAGATTGTTGCAGATTAATAAAGACCTGATTTGTTTTTTTAAAGATGACTGATCGTACATTATTGCTACCATTTCCTTCCTTTAAAAAGAACATGGACGAGTAGACATGCACACACGAGTGTGCATCCTAACACGACTGTTTATAATTATATACAGCGGTGTGCATTCACACACGAGTGTGCATATACAGGGGTGCACATACATACAGACATACAACGCAGTGTACATACACAGCAGTGTAGGAACACAAGGATTGCGTTCTACTGCGAACACGCACGATTGTGCCTGCATACATATACACACATACGTATACGTTTTTTATCATCAGAAGTAGAGCCACTCCATGTTGTTTGGCATTCCCCTATCACGATTAAAGTTCTGTATTAACAACCTTCAACTTCATAGGCGTTCCCGGTCGGAAACGCTGTGGTGGATAAGAGCAATGTCCTTGAGGGAAGTCTCGTAGCCACCACAGCGGCCCACGAGGTCTCTGGACGGGTGCGAGGTTGCTGGTAACACTTCCATATTCAATGCAATTACCAAAACAAAAGCACGTCCAAAAAATAAAACACGTGCATAAATATTGAACACATACACAAGAGTATACATACACACTGAAGACTAAATATGCATGATTGACTTTTTTGCGGTACGTTATGTTAAACCACGCTTACAAGCTAAACCATTCAGATGATTACTCAAAGTTTATAACGGAAATTAGAACATAACATCCTCGTTTTCTAGAAAAACCCCGCTCAACACGAGTGTCCTTAAATATATTCATGAAACCAAGTCAGTACAGTGTAAATTTGCACCTCTTAGTCCAAATAAAACTCTTTATGTTGATAATTCAGACTGTGTATCGCTTTTAAATCCTGAAAATCTTGAAACAGTGTAGGAAGCACAGAATAATGCTTGGAGATGTACATCTTTATTCAAACGGAAGTGTACAATTATGCAGTGGGATGTACATACTTATTAAGGATTAAGTACAATGTGCCAGATTAGCTAAGCTACGTTGATTGATATGCGGATTGTTAATGTAAAAATTAACAATTGAATGCAAAGTCCATGATAGGCCAAGTCGAGAACAAAGGATTTGGATGCTAGAGGAGAGTTATAAGGGGCTTAAAATCAGACCTCAAGACCATTTGGAGAGGAATTTTACTGAGGATAGACGCTCGACTCATCGCTCTGCAGATTTCCCTTCTCCTGCGAGACCCAGACTGGTGAGCACGATTGCTTGGCGACTGGTTGGCGACGTTGCTTCGGAAGAGTTCGTGGCGATCTCTTCAGACGGGTTACAGGATCATTGATACACCGTGCATCAACAAGTAAGTGTCTTTGTTAGTGGATAACCTGGTAATCGCGTGTGTAGTCCGTCTTACGGGGCGTTACTGTGTCTCGGTTGGACGTTCGTGAGAGTTTGCTTTTTGGCGATTTGAGCCACGCAGCTTAGAGGGCGCCGTTAACTCTCAACAACACCCGCGACTGTTACTCTGCTCTGTAGAATCAGTCACATGGAGCAGATGAACTCTCCACAGTGCCACGCACACACGGGCGAGAAGCCGTTCAATTGCTCTGTGTGTGGGAAGGCATTTTGCACATGAAATCAGCTCTTTCAAACACTCACAAGAAAACACACTCGGGTGAGAAGCCGTTCAATTGCTCTGTGTGTGGGAAGGCATTTGCGGAGAAAACAACTCTTAACAGACACCAGAAAACACACACGGGCGAGAAGCCATTCAATTGCTCTTTGTGTGGGAAGGAATTTTTACGGAAATCAAATCTTAACTCTCACAATAAAACACACTCGGGTGAGAAGCCATTCAAATGCTCTGTGTGTGGGAAGGAATTTTTACGGAAATCAAATCTTCACAGTCACCAAAAAAACCATAGAGGCGAGAAGCCATTCCATTGCCCTGTGTGTGTGAAGGCATTTTCACGGAAATCAACTCTTAACAAACACCAGAAAACACACACGGGCGAGAAGCCATTCAATTGTTCTCCGTTAGAGAGGACACGGTCATCACCCCGAAAAAAGCATGCGAATAACCGCAATGAGAGGGAAGTGAAATCAAAAGGTGAAATGCAAAGTCCTGCAGTGAGTCCTGAACAAAATGAATCTTTCGACCCTATACAGGTGAATCCTCAGAGATGCCTGGATGTAGTGGATGTAATGACTCCTGGCAACAATTCCTCTTTCGACCTAATGCAGTTGGATCCTGAGAGATTGCTGGATGTAATGAGCCCTGACGACAATTCCTCTTTCGACCCCATGCAGGTGGATACTGAGAAATGGCTGCTGGAGTGGCTGGAGGGTCAACGTATTGAGTACTTCTGTTAACTCTTGAAGTCCTGGAATGTGCATGTTTGTGTCTCTGTTATATCAATTCAATAAGGTTCAAATGATTACTTCCGTACTACTAAGCTCAGAGTGATGTTGTGAATGCTTCTGATGTGTTCGGAAAAAAGTATGCCTTTAAGTTGCAGAAGTGTTCACTTATTTCAGGATGACAACAATTTTATTACTTCGATAGATGCAGTTGCTTCGTCTGGTGGTTGTATCATCGGCACTGTTAAATGTGTGGTGTTTATGGTAGAAGGTGCCACGTGTTGTCATCTTCTCACAGCTACTTGTGTGTTGAAGTTCATTCTAGACTTGGTCACGTTAAGGTGGTGCTTTGTAGTCATATCGGATTACTTGCTGATGTGGTGTGATCCACAGTGGTTGTGAGGTGGTCCAATTCCTGATTTTACTCTCGTGACTAAGTGGTCTTGTTGAGCTAAAGTTGGAGAAAGACTGTGACCATAACGTTGCCCTATATTTTAAACAATTTATTTAATTTTCAATATTGTTTAATGAAACAAAAACTACTTCAAAGTGTCGGTTTCAGAATGTGCGTTCGTTGTTCCTATGTTTGATGGCTTGGACTTGTGGACGAATGGCTTCAGTCGATAAGGACGTCAATTGGGAAGGATTAAGACGTTCACGTGTTTGATTTTTTGAATATTTTATTACTGTTGAATTAATGAAAGTGAAATAATTTTCCTAGTTCCTTAACTGTTTGAAAAAGCGAATTAATAAATATTTTGATGCGAGTTTTAACGTTGAGATTGTTGCAGATTAATAAAGACCTGATTTGTTTTTTTAAAGATGACTGATCGTACATTATTGCTACCATTTCCTTCCTTTAAAAAGAACATGGACGAGTAGACATGCACACACGAGTGTGCATCCTAACACGACTGTTTATAATTATATACAGCGTTGTGCATTCACACACGAGTGTGCATATACAGGGGTGCACATACATACAGACATACAACGCAGTGTACATACACAGCAGTGTAGGAACACAAGGATTGCGTTCCACTGCGAACACGCACGATTGTGCCTGCATACATATACACACATACGTATACGTTTTTTATCATCAGAAGTAGAGCCACTCCATGTTGTTTGGCATTCCCCTATCACGATTAAAGTTCTGTATTAACAACCTTCAACTTCATCGGCGTTCCCGGTCGGAAACGCTGTGGTGGATAAGAGCAATGTCCTTGAGGGAAGTCTCGTAGCCACCACAGCGGCCCACGAGGTCTCTGGACGGGTGCGAGGTTGCTGGTAACACTTCCATATTCAATGCAATTACCAAAACAAAAAACGTCCAAAATAAAACACGTGCATAAATATTGAACACATACACAAGAGTATACATACACACTGAAGACTAAATATGCATGATTGACTTTTTGCGGTACGTTATGTTAAACCACGCTTACAAGCTAAACCATTCAGATGATTACTCAAAGTTTATAACGGAAATTAGAACATAACATCCTCGTTTTCTAGAAAAACCCCGCTCAACACGAGTGTCCTTAAATATATTCATGAAACCAAGTCAGTACAGTGTAAATTTGCACCTCTTAGTCCAAATAAAACTCTTTATGTTGATAATTCAGACTGTGTATCGCTTTTAAATCCTGAAAATCTTGAAACAGTGTAGGAAGCACAGAATAATGCTTGGAGATGTACATCTTTATTCAAACGGAAGTGTACAATTATGCAGTGGGATGTACATACTTATTAAGGATTAAGTACAATGTGCCAGATAAGCTAAGCTACGTTGATTGATATGCGGATTGTTAATGTAAAAATTAACAATTGAATGCAAAGTCCATGATAGGCCAAGTCGAGAACAAAGGATTTGGATGCTAGAGCGGAGTTATAAGGGGCTTAAAATCAGACCTCAAGATCATTTGGAGAGGAAATTTACTGAGGATAGACGCTCGACTCATCGCTCTGCAGATTTCCCTTCTCCTGCGAGACCCAGACTGGCGAGCACGATTGCTTGGCGACTGGTTGGCGACTTTGCTTCGGGAGAGTTCGTGGCGATCTCTTCAGACGGGTTACAGGGTCATCGATACACCGTGCATCAACAACTAAGTGTCGTTGTTAGTTGATAACCTGGTAATCGCGTGTGTAGTCTGTCTTACGGGGCTTTACTGTGTCTCGGTTGGACGTTCGTGAGAGTTTGCTTGTTGGCGATTTGAGCCACGCAGCTTAGAGCGCCGTTAACTCTCAACAACACCCGCGACTGTTACTCTGCTCTGTAGAATCAGTCACATGGAGCAGATGAACTCTCCACAGTGCCACACACACACGGGCGAGAAGCCGTTCAATTGCTCTGTGTGTGGGAAGGCTTTTGCATGGAAATCAGCTCTTTTCAGACACCAGAAAACACACTCGGGTGAGAAGCCGTTCAATTGCTCTGTTTGTGGGAAGGCATTTGCGGAGAAAACAACTCTTAACAGACACCAGAAAACACACACGGGCGAGAAGCCATTCAATTGCTCTTTGTGTGGGAAGGAATTTTTACGGAAATCAAATCTTAACTCTCACAATAAAACACACTCGGGTGAGAAGCCATTCAAATGCTCTGTGTGTGGGAAGGAATTTTTACGGAAATCAAATCTTCACAGTCACCAAAAAAACCATAGAGGCGAGAAGCCATTCCATTGCCCTGTGTGTGTGAAGGCATTTTCACGGAAATCAACTCTTAACAAACACCAGAAAACACACACGGGCGAGAAGCCATTCAATTGTTCTCCGTTAGAGAGGACACGGTCATCACCCCGAAAAAAGCATGCGAATAACCGCAATGAGAGGGAAGTGAAATCAAAAGGTGAAATGCAAAGTCCTGCAGTGAGTCCTGAACAAAATGAATCTTTCGACCCTATACAGGTGAATCCTCAGAGATGCCTGGATGTAGTGGATGTAATGACTCCTGGCAACAATTCCTCTTTCGACCTAATGCAGTTGGATCCTGAGAGATTGCTGGATGTAATGAGCCCTGACGACAATTCCTCTTTCGACCCCATGCAGGTGGATACTGAGAAATGGCTGCTGGAGTGGCTGGAGGGTCAAAGTTTTGAGTACTTCTGTTAACTCTTGAAGTCCTGGAATGTGCATGTTTGTGTCTCTGTTAGATCAATCAATAAGGTTCAAATGATTACTTCCGTACTCCAAGCTCGAGTGATGTTGTGAATGCTCTATGATGTGTTCGGGAAAAAAGTCTTGCTTTTAAGTTGCAGAAGTGTTCACTTATTTCAGGATGACAACAATTTTATACTTCGATAGATGCGTTGCTTCGTCTGGTGGTTGTATCATCGGCACTGTTAAATGTGTGGTGTTTATGGTAGAAGGTGCCACGTGTTGTCATCTTCTCACAGCTACTTGTGTGTTGAAGTTCATTCTAGACTTCGTCACGTTAAGGTGGTGCTTTGTAGTCATATCGGATTACTTGCTGATGTGGTGTGATCCACAGTGGTTGTGAGGTGGTCCAATTCCTGATTTTACTCTCGTGACTAAGTGGTCTTGTTGAGCTAAAGTTGGAGAAAGACTGTGACCATAACGTTGCCCTATATTTTAAACAATTTCTTTAATTTTCAATATTGTTTAATGAAACAAAAACTACTTCAAAGTGTCGGTTTCAGAATGTGCGTTCGTTGTTCCTATGTTTGATGGCTTGGACTTGTGGACGAATGGCTTCAGTCGATAAGGACGTCAATTGGGAAGGATTAAGACGTTCACGTGTTTGATTTTTTGAATATTTTATTACTGTTGAATTAATGAAAGTGAAATAATTTTCCTAGTTCCTTAACTGTTTGAAAAAGCGAATTAATAAATATTTTAATGCGAGTTTTAACGTTGAGATTGTTGCAGATTAATAAAGACCTGATTTGTTTTTTTAAAGATGACTGTTCGTACATTATTGCTACCATTTCATTCCTTTAAAAGAAAATGGACGAGTAGACATGCACACACGAGTGTGCATCCTAACACGACTGTTTATAATTATATACAGCGTTGTGCATTCACACACGAGTGTGCATATACAGGGGTGCACATACATACAGACATACAACGCAGTGTACATACACAGCAGTGTAGGAACACAAGGATTGCGTTCCACTGCGAACACGCACGATTGTGCCTGCATACATACACATACGTATACGTTCTTTTATCATCAGAAGTAGAGCCACTCCATGTTGTTTGGCATTCCCCTATCACGATTAAAGTTCTGTATTAACAACCTTCAACTTCATCGGCGTTCCCGGTCGGTAACGCTGTGGTGGATAAGAGAAATGTCCTTGAGGGAAGTCTCGTGGCCACCACAGCGGCCCACGAGGTCTCTGGACGGGTGCGAGGTGCTGGTAGCCCTCCATATTCAATGCAATTACTGTTACAAAAACAAGTCCAATATTTTAAAAACCGTCCAAAATATTGAACACAAACACAAGAATATACATACACACTGAAGACTAAATATTTATGATTGATTTTGTTGCGGTACGTTATGTTAAACCACGCTTACAAGCTAAACCATTCAGATGATTACTCAAAGTTTATGACTTCAATAGGAACATAGCAACCTCGTTTTCCAGAAACACCCCGCTCAACACGAGTGTCCTTAAATATATTTATGAAACAAAGTCAGTACAGTGTAAATTTGCACCTCTTTGTCCAAATCAAACTCGACGTCTTCATTTTGATTCTTTAGACTGTATGTCACTGTTAAATCCTCTAAACTGCTGCAAGTTTAGAGGACATAGCCGGGTGAATATTAGCAAATTAACAGGAAGCACAGAATTATGCATGGAGATGTACATTTTATTCAAACGGAAGCGTACAGTTATGCAGTAGGATGTACATACATATTAAGATTTAAGTACAATGGCCAGATTAGCTAAGCTAGGTTGATTGATCTGCGGATTGTTAATGTAAAAATTAACAATTGAATGCAAAGTCCATGATAGGCCAAGTCGAGAACAAAGGATTTGGATGCTAGAGGGAAGTTATAAGGGGCTTAAAATCAGACCTCAAGATCATTTGGAGAGGAAATTTACTGAGGATAGACGCTCGACTCATCGCTCTGCAGATTACCCTTTTCCTGCGAGACTCAGCCTGGCGAGCACGATTGCTTGGCGACTGGTTGGCGACTTTGCTTCGGGAGAGTTCGTGGCGATCTCTTCAGACGGGTTACAGGGTCATCGATACACCGTGCATCAACAACTAAGTGTCGTTGTTAGTTGATAACCTGGTAATCGCGTGTGTAGTCCGTCTTACGGGGCTTTACTGTGTCTCGGTTGGACGTTCGTGAGAGTTTGCTTTTTGGCGATTTGAGCCACGCAGCTTAGAGCGCCGTTAACTCTCAACAACACCCGCGACTGTTACTCTGCTCTGTAGAATCAGTCACATGGAGCAGATGAACTCTCCACAGTGCCACGCACACACGGGCGAGAAGCCGTTCAATTGCTTTGTGTGTGGGAAGGCATTTGCACAGAAATCACATCTTAACACTCACAAGAAAACACACACGGGCGAGAAACCGTTCAATTGCTCTGTGTGTGGGAAGGCATTTGCAGAGAAATCAACTCTTAACGGACACGAGAAAACACACACGGGGGAGAAACCATTCAAGTGCTCTGTGTGTGGGAAGGCATTTGCGGACAAATCAAATCTTAACAGACACCAGAAAACACACACCGGCGAGAGGCCATTCAAGTGCTCTGTGTGTCGGAAGGAATTTTCACAGAAAGCAAATCTTAACACTCACAAGAAAACACACTCGGGTGAGAAGCCATTCAATTGCTCTGTGTGTGGGAAGGCATTTTCACAGAAATCAAATCTTAACAGACACCAGAAAACACACCCGGGCGAGAAGTCGTTCAATTGTTCTCCATTGGAGAGGGCACGGTCATCACCCCAACACATGCATGCGAAGATCCGCAATGAGAGTGAAGTGAAATCAAAAGGTGTAATGCAAAGTGCTGCAGTGAGTCCTGAACAAAATGAATCTTTCGACCCCATACAGGTGAATCCTGAGAAATGCCTGGATGTAGTGGATGTAATGAGTCCTGACTACAATTCCTCTATCGACCCCATGCAGGTGGATACTGAGAAATGGCTGATGGAGTGGCTGGAGGGTCAAAGTATTGAGTACTTCTGTTAACTCTTGAAGTCCTGGAATGTGCATGTTTGTGTCTCAGTTATATCAATTAATAAGGTTACACATGATTACTTCCATGATACAGTACTCAAGCTCGAGTGATGTTGTGAATGCTTTCTGATGTGTTCGGAATAAAAGTATGCCTTTAAAGTTGCAGAAGTGTTCACTTAGTTGAGGATGACAACAATTTTATTCTTCGATAGATGCATTGCTTCGTCTGGTGGTTGTATCATCGGCACTGTTAAATGTGTGGTGTTTATGGTAGAAGGTGCCACGTGTTGTCATCTTCTCACAGCTACTTGAGTTTTGAAGTTCCTTCTAGACTTCGTCACGTTAAGGTGGTGCTTTGTAGTCATATCGGATTACTTGTTGATGTGGTGTGATCCACAGTGGTTGTGAGGTAGTCCAATTCCTGATTTTACTCTCGTGACTAAGTGGTCTTGTTGACCTAAAGTTGGAGAAAGACTGTGACCATAACGTTGCCCTATATTTTAAACAATTTCTTTAATTTTCAATATTGTTTAATGAAACAAAAACTACTTCAAAGTGTCGGTTTCAGAATGTGCGTTCGTTGTTCCTATGTTTGATGGCTTGGGCTTGTGGACGAATGGCTTCAGTCGATAAGGACGTCAATTGGGAAGGATTAAGACGTTCACGTGTTTGATTTTTTGAATATTTTATTAATGTTGAATTAATGAAAGTGAAATAATTTTCCTAGTTCCTTAACTGTTTGAAAAAGCGAATTAATAAATATTTTGATGCGAGTTTTAACGTTGAGATTGTTGCAGATTAATAAAGACCTGATTTGTTTTTTTAAAGATGACTGATCGTACATTATTGCTACCATTTCCTTCCTTTAAAAGAACATGGACGAGTAGACATGCACACACGAGTGTGCATCCTAACACGACTGTTTATAATTATATACAGCGTTGTGCATTCACACACGAGTGTGCATATACAGGGGTGCACATACATACAGACACTACAACGCAGTGTACATACACAGCAGTGTAGGAACACAAGGATTGCGTTCCACTGCGAACACGCACGATTGTGCCTGCATACATACACACATACGTATACGTTCTTTTATCATCAGAAGTAGAGCCACTCCATGTTGTTTGGCATTCCCCTATCACGATTAAAGTTCTGTATTAACAACCTTCAACTTCATCGGCGTTCCCGGTCGGTAACGCTGTGGTGGATAAGAGAAATGTCCTTGAGGGAAGTCTCGTGGCCACCACAGCGGCCCACGAGGTCTCTGGACGGGTGCGAGGTGCTGGTAGCCCTCCATATTCAATGCAATTACTGTTACAAAAACAAGTCCAATATTTTAAAAACCGTCCAAAATATTGAACACAAACACAAGAATATACATACACACTGAAGACTAAATATTTATGATTGATTTTGTTGCGGTACGTTATGTTAAACCACGCTTCTAAGCTAAACCATTCAGATGATTACTCAAAGTTTATGACTTCAATAGGAACATAGCAACCTCGTTTTCCAGAAACACCCCGCTCAACACGAGTGTCCTTAAATATATTTATGAAACAAAGTCAGTACAGTGTAAATTTGCACCTCTTTGTCCAAATCAAACTCGACGTCTTCATTTTGATTCTTTAGACTGTATGTCACTGTTAAATCCTCTAAACTGCTGCAAGTTTAGAGGACATAGCCGGGTGAATATTAGCAAATTAACAGGAAGCACAGAATTATGCATGGAGATGTACATTTTATTCAAACGGAAGCGTACAGTTATGCAGTAGGATGTACATACATATTAAGATTTAAGTACAATGGCCAGATTAGCTAAGCTAGGTTGATTGATCTGCGGATTGTTAATGTAAAAATTAACAATTGAATGCAAAGTCCATGATAGGCCAAGTCGAGAACAAAGGATTTGGATGCTAGAGGGAAGTTATAAGGGGCTTAAAATCAGACCTCAAGATCATTTGGAGAGGAAATTTACTGAGGATAGACGCTCGACTCATCGCTCTGCAGATTACCCTTTTCCTGCGAGACTCAGCCTGGCGAGCACGATTGCTTGGCGACTGGTTGGCGACTTTGCTTCGGGAGAGTTCGTGGCGATCTCTTCAGACGGGTTACAGGGTCATCGATACACCGTGCATCAACAACTAAGTGTCGTTGTTAGTTGATAACCTGGTAATCGCGTGTGTAGTCTGTCTTACGGGGCTTTACTGTGTCTCGGTTGGACGTTCGTGAGAGTTTGCTTGTTGGCGATTTGAGCCACGCAGCTTAGAGGGCGCCGTTAACTCTCAACAACACCCGCGACTGTTACTCTGCTCCTGTAGAATCAGTCACATGGAGCAGATGAACTCTCCACAGTGCCACACACACACGGGCGAGAAGCCGTTCAATTGCTCTGTGTGTGGGAAGGCTTTTGCATGGAAATCAGCTCTTTTCAGACACCAGAAAACACACACGGGCGAGAAGCCGTTCAATTGCTCTGTGTGTGGGAAGGCATTTGCAGAGAAATCAACTCTTAACGGACACGAGAAAACACACACGGGGGAGAAACCATTCAAGTGCTCTGTGTGTGGGAAGGCATTTGCGGACAAATCAAATCTTAACAGACACCAGAAAACACACACCGGCGAGAGGCCATTCAAGTGCTCTGTGTGTCGGAAGGAATTTTCACAGAAAGCAAATCTTAACACTCACAAGAAAACACACTCGGGTGAGAAGCCATTCAATTGCTCTGTGTGTGGGAAGGCATTTTCACAGAAATCAAATCTTAACAGACACCAGAAAACACACCCGGGCGAGAAGTCGTTCAATTGTTCTCCATTGGAGAGGGCACGGTCATCACCCCAACACATGCATGCGAAGATCCGCAATGAGAGTGAAGTGAAATCAAAAGGTGTAATGCAAAGTGCTGCAGTGAGTCCTGAACAAAATGAATCTTTCGACCCCATACAGGTGAATCCTGAGAAATGCCTGGATGTAGTGGATGTAATGAGTCCTGACTACAATTCCTCTATCGACCCCATGCAGGTGGATACTGAGAAATGGCTGATGGAGTGGCTGGAGGGTCAAAGTATTGAGTACTTCTGTTAACTCTTGAAGTCCTGGAATGTGCATGTTTGTGTCTCTGTTAGATCAATAATTAAGGTACACATTATTACTTCCATGATTTCCAGTACTCCAAGCTCGAGTGATGTTGTGAATGCTCTATGATGTGTTCGGAATAAAAGTCTTCCTTTTAAGTTCCAGAAGTGTTCACTCATTTCAGGATGACAACAATTTTATACTTCCATAGATGCGTTGCTTCGTCTGGTGGTTGTATCATCGGGACTGTTAAACGTGTGGTGTTTATGGTAGAAGGTGCCACGTGTTGTCATCTTCTCACAGCTACTTGAGTGTTGAAGTTCCTTCTAGACTTCGTCACGTTAAGGTGGTGCTTTGTAGTCATAACGGATTTCTTGTTGATGTTGTGTGATGCACAGTGGTTGTGAGGTGGTCCAATTCCTGATTTTACTCTCGTGACTAAGTGGTCTTGTTGAGCTAAAGTTGGAGAAAGACTGTGACCATAACGTTGCCCTATATTTTAAACAATTTCTTTAATTTTCAATATTGTTTAATGAAACAAAAACTACTTCAAAGTGTCGGTTTCAGAATGTGCGTTCGTTGTTCCTATGTTTGATGGCTTGGACTTGTGGACGAATGGCTCCAGTCGATAAGGACGTCAATTGGGAAAAATTAAGACGTTCACGTGTTTGATTTTTTGAATATTTTATTACTGTTGAATTAATGAAAGTGAAATAATTTTCCTAGTTCCTTAACTGTTTGAAAAAGCGAATTAATAAATATTTTGATGCGAGTTTTAACGTTGAGATTGTTGCAGATTAATAAAGACCTGATTTGTTTTTTTAAAGATGACTGATCGTACATTATTGCTACCATTTCCTTCCTTTAAAAAGAACATGGACGAGTAGACATGCACACACGAGTGTGCATCCTAACACGACTGTTTATAATTATATACAGCGTTGTGCATTCACACACGAGTGTGCATATACAGGGGTGCACATACATACAGACACACAACGCAGTGTACATACACAGCAGTGTAGGAACACAAGGATTGCGTTCCACTGCGAACACGCACGATTGTGCCTGCATACATACACACACATACGTATACGTTCTTTTATCATCAGAAGTAGAGCCACTCCATGTTGTTTGGCATTCCCCTATCACGATTAAAGTTCTGTATTAACAACCTTCAACTTCATCGGCGTTCCCGGTCGGTAACGCTGTGGTGGATAAGAGAAATGTCCTTGAGGGAAGTCTCGTGGCCACCACAGCGGCCCACGAGGTCTCTGGACGGGTGCGAGGTGCTGGTAGCCCTCCATATTCAATGCAATTACTGTTACAAAAACAAGTCCAATATTTTAAAAACCGTCCAAAATATTGAACACAAACACAAGAATATACATACACACTGAAGACTAAATATTTATGATTGATTTTGTTGCGGTACGTTATGTTAAACCACGCTTCTAAGCTAAACCATTCAGATGATTACTCAAAGTTTATGACTTCAATAGGAACATAGCAACCTCGTTTTCCAGAAACACCCCGCTCAACACGAGTGTCCTTAAATATATTTATGAAACAAAGTCAGTACAGTGTAAATTTGCACCTCTTTGTCCAAATCAAACTCGACGTCTTCATTTTGATTCTTTAGACTGTATGTCACTGTTAAATCCTCTAAACTGCTGCAAGTTTAGAGGACATAGCCGGGTGAATATTAGCAAATTAACAGGAAGCACAGAATTATGCATGGAGATGTACATTTTATTCAAACGGAAGCGTACAGTTATGCAGTAGGATGTACATACATATTAAGATTTAAGTACAATGGCCAGATTAGCTAAGCTAGGTTGATTGATCTGCGGATTGTTAATGTAAAAATTAACAATTGAATGCAAAGTCCATGATAGGCCAAGTCGAGAACAAAGGATTTGGATGCTAGAGGGAAGTTATAAGGGGCTTAAAATCAGACCTCAAGATCATTTGGAGAGGAAATTTACTGAGGATAGACGCTCGACTCATCGCTCTGCAGATTACCCTTTTCCTGCGAGCCTCAGCCTGGCGAGCACGATTGCTTGGCGACTGGTTGGCGACTTTGCTTCGGGAGAGTTCGTGGCGATCTCTTCAGACGTGTTACAGGGTCATCGATACACCGTGCATCAACAATTAAGTGTCGTTGTTAGTTGATAACCTGTTAATCGCGTGTGTAGTCTGTCTTACGGGGCTTTACTGTGTCTCGGTTGGACGTTCGTGAGAGTTTGCTTGTTGGCGATTTGAGCCACGCAGCTTAGAGGGCGCCGTTAACTCTCAACAACACCCGCGACTGTTACTCTGCTCTGTAGAATCAGTCACATGGAGCAGATGAACTCTCCACAGTGCCACACACACACGGGCGAGACGCCGTTCAATTGCTCTGTGTGTGGGAAGGCTTTTGCATGGAAATCAGCTCTTTTCAGACACCAGAAAACACACTCGGGTGAGAAGCCGTTCAATTGCTCTGTTTGTGGGAAGGCATTTGCGGAGAAAACAACTCTTAACAGACACCAGAAAACACACACGGGCGAGAAGCCATTCAATTGCTCTTTGTGTGGGAAGGAATTTTTACGGAAATCAAATCTTCACAGTCACCAAAAAAACCATACAGGCGAGAAGCCATTCCATTGCCCTGTGTGTGTGAAGGCATTTTCACGGAAATCAACTCTTAACAAACACCAGAAAACACACACGGGCGAGAAGCCATTCAATTGTTCTCCGTTAGAGAGGACACGGTCATCACCCCGAAAAAAGCATGCGAATAACCGCAATGAGAGGGAAGTGAAATCAAAAGGTGAAATGCAAAATCCTGCAGTGAGTCCTGAACAAAATGAATCTTTCGACCCTATACAGGTGAATCCTCAGAGATGCCTGGATGTAGTGGATGTAATGACTCCTGGCAACAATTCCTCTTTCGACCTAATGCAGTTGGATCCTGAGAGATTGCTGGATGTAATGAGCCCTGACGACAATTCCTCTTTCGACCCCATGCAGGTGGATATTGAGAAATGGCTGCTGGAGTGGCTGGAGGGTCAACGTATTGAGTACTTCTGTTAACTCTTGAAGTCCTGGAATGTGCATGTTTGTGTCTCAGTTATATCAATTAATAAGGTTCAAATGATTACTTCCGTACACTAAGCTCGAGTGATGTTGTGAATGCTTTCTGATGTGTTCGGAAAAAAAGTATGCCTTTAAAGTTGCAGAAGTGTTCACTTAGTTGAGGATGACAACAATTTTATTCTTCGATAGATGCATTGCTTCGTCTGGTGGTTGTATCATCGGCACTGTTAAATGTGTGGTGTTTATGGTAGAAGGTGCCACGTGTTGTCATCTTCTCACAGCTACTTGAGTGTTGAAGTGACTTCTAGACTTCGTCACGTTAAGGTGGTGCTAAGTAGTCATATCGGAATACTTGTTGAAGTTGTGTGATGCACAGTGGTTGTGAGGTGGTCCAATTCCTGATTTTACTCTCGTGACTAAGTGGTCTTGTTGAGCTAAAGTTGGAGAAAGACTGTGACCATAACGTTGCCCTTTATTTTAAACAATTTCTTTAATTTTCAATATTGTTTAATGAAACAAAAACTACTTCAAAGTGTCGGTTTCAGAATGTGCGTTCGTTGTTCCTATGTTTGATGGCTTGGGCTTGTGGACGAATGGCTTCAGTCGATAAGGACGTCAATTGGGAAGGATTAAGACGTTCACGTGTTTGATTTTTTGAATATTTTATTACTGTTGAATTAATGAAAGTGAAATAATTTTCCTAGTTCCTTAACTGTTTGAAAAAGCGAATTAATAAATATTTTGATGCGAGTTTTAACGTTGAGATTGTTGCAGATTAATAAAGACCTGATTTGTTTTTTTAAAGATGACTGATCGTACATTATTGCTACCATTTCCTTCCTTTAAAAAGAACATGGACGAGTAGACATGCACACACGAGTGTGCATCCTAACACGACTGTTTATAATTATATACAGCGTTGTGCATTCACACACGAGTGTGCATATACAGGGGTGCACATACATACAGACACACAGCGCAGTGTACATACACAGCAGTGTAGGAACACAAGGATTGCGTTCCACTGCGAACACGCACGATTGTGCCTGCATACATACACACACATACGTATACGTTTTTTTATCATCAGAAGTAGAGCCACTCCATGTTGTTTGGCATTCCCCTATCACGATTAAAGTTCTGTATTAACAACCTTCAACTTCATCGGCGTTCCCGGTCGGTAACGCTGTGGTGGATAAGAGAAATGTCCTTGAGGGAAGTCTCGTGGCCACCACAGCGGCCCACGAGGTCTCTGGACGGGTGCGAGGTGCTGGTAGCCCTCCATATTCAATGCAATTACTGTTACAAAAACAAGTCCAATATTTTAAAAACCGTCCAAAATATTGAACACAAACACAAGAATATACATACACACTGAAGACTAAATATTTATGATTGATTTTGTTGCGGTACGTTATGTTAAACCACGCTTCTAAGCTAAACCATTCAGATGATTACTCAAAGTTTATGACTTCAATAGGAACATAGCAACCTCGTTTTCCAGAAACACCCCGCTCAACACGAGTGTCCTTAAATATATTTATGAAACAAAGTCAGTACAGTGTAAATTTGCACCTCTTTGTCCAAATCAAACTCGACGTCTTCATTTTGATTCTTTAGACTGCATGTCACTGTTAAATCCTCTAAACTGCTGCAAGTTTAGAGGACATAGCCGGGTGAATATTAGCAAATTAACAGGAAGCACAGAATTATACATGGAGATGTACATTTTATTCAAACGGAAGCGTACAGTTATGCAGTAGGATGTACATACATATTAAGATTTAAGTACAATGGCCAGATTAGCTAAGCTAGGTTGATTGATCTGCGGATTGTTAATGTAAAAATTAACAATTGAATGCAAAGTCCATGATAGGCCAAGTCGAGAACAAAGGATTTGGATGCTAGAGGGAAGTTATAAGGGGCTTAAAATCAGACCTCAAGATCATTTGGAGAGGAAATTTACTGAGGATAGACGCTCGACTCATCGCTCTGCAGATTACCCTTTTCCTGCGAGCCTCAGCCTGGCGAGCACGATTGCTTGGCGACTGGTTGGCGACTTTGCTTCGGGAGAGTTCGTGGCGATCTCTTCAGACGTGTTACAGGGTCATCGATACACCGTGCATCAACAATTAAGTGTCGTTGTTAGTTGATAACCTGGTAATCGCGTGTGTAGTCTGTCTTACGGGGCTTTACTGTGTCTCGGTTGGACGTTCGTGAGAGTTTGCTTGTTGGCGATTTGAGCCACGCAGCTTAGAGGGCGCCGTTAACTCTCAACAACACCCGCGACTGTTACTCTGCCCTGTAGAATCAGTCACATGGAGCAGATGAACTCTCCACAGTGCCACACACACACGGGCGAGACGCCGTTCAATTGCTCTGTGTGTGGGAAGGCTTTTGCATGGAAATCAGCTCTTTTCAGACACCAGAAAACACACTCGGGTGAGAAGCCGTTCAATTGCTCTGTTTGTGGGAAGGCATTTGCGGAGAAAACAACTCTTAACAGACACCAGAAAACACACACGGGCGAGAAGCCATTCAATTGCTCTTTGTGTGGGAAGGAATTTTTACGGAAATCAAATCTTAACTCTCACAATAAAACACACTCGGGTGAGAAGCCATTCAAATGCTCTGTGTGTGGGAAGGAATTTTTACGGAAATCAAATCTTCACAGTTACCAAAAAAACCATACAGGCGAGAAGCCATTCCATTGCCCTGTGTGTGTGAAGGCATTTTCACGGAAATCAACTCTTAACAAACACCAGAAAACACACACGGGCGAGAAGCCATTCAATTGTTCTCCGTTAGAGAGGACACGGTCATCACCCCGAAAAAAGCATGCGAATAACCGCAATGAGAGGGAAGTGAAATCAAAAGGTGAAATGCAAAGTCCTGCAGTGAGTCCTGAACAAAATGAATCTTTCGACCCTATACAGGTGAATCCTCAGAGATGCCTGGATGTAGTGGATGTAATGACTCCTGGCAACAATTCCTCTTTCGACCTAATGCAGTTGGATCCTGAGAGATTGCTGGATGTAATGAGCCCTGACGACAATTCCTCTTTCGACCCCATGCAGGTGGATACTGAGAAATGGCTGCTGGAGTGGCTGGAGGGTCAACGTATTGAGTACTTCTGTTAACTCTTGAAGTCCTGGAATGTGCATGTTTGTGTCTCAGTTATATCAATTAATAAGGTTCAAATGATTACTTCCGTACACTAAGCTCGAGTGATGTTGTGAATGCTTTCTGATGTGTTCGGAAAAAAAGTATGCCTTTAAAGTTGCAGAAGTGTTCACTTAGTTGAGGATGACAACAATTGTATTCTTCGATAGATGCATTGCTTCGTCTGGTGGTTGTATCATCGGGACTGTTAAACGTGTGGTGTTTATGGTAGAAGGTGCCACGTGTTGTCATCTTCTCACAGCTACTTGAGTGTTGAAGTTCCTTCTAGACTTCGTCACGTTAAGGTGGTGCTTTGTAGTCATAACGGATTTCTTGTTGATGTTGTGTGATGCACAGTGGTTGTGAGGTGTCCAATTCCTGATTTTACTCTCGTGACTAAGTGGTCTTGTTGAGCTAAAGTTGGAGAAAGACTGTGACCATAACGTTGCCCTATATTTTAAACAATTTCTTTATTTTCAATATTGTTAATGAAACAAAAACTACTTCAAAGTG